GGCATCCTGCCCGCCCGGCGGACACTGCAGCCCCAGGGCAAGGAGCCCTGGCAGCAGCTGTGGGAGACCCCGACGCTGCTGTGGGAGGCGCCCCGGCTGGGGCTGGACACAGCACAGGGCCTGGAGCTGCTGACCCTGCTGGGCACCCTGCTGGCCCTGGGCGCCCTGCTGCTGCGCCGGCTGCGCCACCTGCTCGTCTACCTGCTGCTCTGGGCCGCCTACCTGTCCGCCTGCCAGGCAGGTGGGGGGTTGCCTGCCGTCCCCTCACCTCCACGGGGAACCTGGTCCCCAGCTGACTTCAGCCCCGTCCACCCCGCCCCATCCCTCGCTGCCTCCCCAGACATACACCCCCTGCCCCTGACAGCCCTTCTCCCTGCAGGTGGGCCAGGTGTTTCTTTATTTCCAGTGGTGAGTGACGGTGTGGGGCTTCAGGAGGCTGGGGGGCTTCAGGAGGCTGGGGGGCGGGTGAGGGGAGGAGGGTCGGCCTCTCCTGGAAGGGCCCTCTGAGGGGAGCAGCCTTGATGGGGAGGGGCCCTCTGCTCTTCCTTCTCCCTGTAGGGATTCCCTGCTGCTGGAGACTGGCTTCCTGGCGGTGCTGGTGGCCCCCCTGAGGCAGCCCCCCCACCAGAAGCAGCCCTCCCAGGGTGGGCTGGCAGGGGCCTCGCCCCACGAAGGCCTCCCCTTCTGGCTCGTGCGCTGGCTGCTGTTTCGCCTCATGTTCGCCTCGGGTGTGGTCAAGCTGACCAGCCGTTGCCCCACGTGGTGGGGCCTCACTGGTGAGGGTCCCCGCCTGCACACGGGGCAGCCTCGGGGGGCGCTGCCCAGCCCTGACCACCTCCGTCCCCCGCAGCCCTCACCTACCACTACGAGACGCAGTGCCTGCCCACGCCTGCTGCCTGGTTCGCCCACCACCTGCCCGTCTGGCTGCACAGGCTCAGCGTGGTGGCCACCTTCCTCATCGAGATCGCGGTGCCCCCTCTGTTCTTCGCCCCTGCTCGCCGCCTACGCCTGGCCGCCTTCTACTCCCAGGTGAGCGGGCATCCACCGTCGGGAAACAGGCGGGAGTTGGCCTTCTGCACCACCCGGGGTCCTGATGGGGACTGGGTCGCTGCCGCCGGCAGTCAGGAGTCTCGTGGGCAGAGGCCCGGTTAGCTCTAGGCAGGAAGGTGTGCCTGTGGGGCAGAGCACGGCCTCGCTGGAGGACGTCGGGCTCAGGTCAGCAGGGGCGTGAGGTGTGCTGAGCTTGCGTTTTCTCCAAGCGGTGTTGGGGAGCCGTGGTCGGTATGAGCAGAGGGGACAGCACAGAGGCCAGGGATGCTGCAGAGGGGGAAGGAGGCCTGCAGGAGAGACCTAGGCGTGGGGGCAGGCTCTGAAGGGCCCAGGCGGGGGCGCTGGTTAGAGTTCTGAGCACAGACCCTCCTGCAGGTCTTGCTGCAAGTCCTGATTATCATCACTGGGAACTACAACTTCTTCAACCTGCTCACCCTGGTGCTCACCACCTCCCTGCTGGATGACAGGCACCTAGGGGCCGAGGCTGGCAACAGCCGTCGCAAGAAGACACCTGCCTGTGAGTGTCACCTGTCCCGGCGGCCAGCCGTCCTCACCCACGCCTCCTTCCCCCAGCAGTCCCCACTGGCCTCTGCTCTAGCTCCCCAGCCTCCTGGCTGCCCGCCCTCCGCCCTGTTCCCAGCTGGCCAGGACTGTCTTGCCCTGCAGCCTGGCCCAAGGCCCTGCTGGCCCTGCCGGCCCTGTTGCTGGAACTGGCCGCCTGCGGGCTGCTGGCCTACGGCACCGTGCACTACTTTGGCCTGGAGGTCGACTGGGAGCAGCGCACCATCCACTCTAGAACCAGTGAGTGCCAGCTGGGTGCCAGGGGGCAGGGGCTGGACTGGGCTGCCTGTCCTCACACCCCTTCCTTCCACAGCCTTCACCTTCCACCAGTTTTCCCAGTGGCTGAAGATGGTGACCCTACCCACCATGTGGCTGGGGGGCGCCTCCCTCGCCTGGGAACTGCTGACCGCCCTCTGGAGGTAAATGCAGGGCGGGGGGCGCAGCGTGGGCTGTAGAGCTGTGCAGAGCAGGGCTGACCGCACTTGGCCCCTGACCTTTAGGTGGACCCAGGTGCAAGGGTTGCTACAGAAGCTCTGGACTGCAGTCCAGCTGTCCATCTTTGGCACTGCCACCGTGGCCATGTTCCTGGTCAGCCTGGTGGGTAGCACTTCACAGGGGATCGGGAGAGGGGCTGGGAGGGGCGGGAGGAACAGCACTGAGCCTCCGCCCACCGCCTCCAGGTGCCATACTCCTACATGGAGCCCTCCACCCACGGGCGCCTCTGGACTGGGGCCCACCGCCTGTTTGGCGCCGTGGAGCACCTGCAGCTGGCCAACTCCTATGGCCTCTTCCGACGGATGACCGGCCTGGGTGGGCGGCCCGAGGTGGTGCTGGAGGGCAGCTATGACAAGCAACACTGGACGGTGAGCACTCCACGGGTGGGGAGCCCAAGGGGGGTGGGGTTGTCGGGGAGGATGGGGGGAAACCAGGTCTAGCTGCTCTCCCAACCCGGCTGGGTGTGGCGCACAGGAGATCGAGTTCATGTACAAGCCTGGGAACGTGAGCCGGCCGCCCCCCATCGTGGCGCCCCACCAGCCGCGCCTCGATTGGCAGATGTGGTTCGCGGCCCTGGGCCCGCACACGCACAGCCCGTGGTTCACGAGCCTGGTGCTCTGCCTGCTGCAGGGCAACGAGCCAGGTGAGGCTGGAGCAGAGGGTCGGGCTTGCTGGGGGGCTTATGGGCAGGGCTGAGGAAGCAGCCAGCTGAGCCCACTCCCCCCTCAGTGATCCGCCTCATCCAGAGTGACGTGGCCAGGTACCCCTTCCACAAGCAGCCACCCACCTACGTGCGAGCCCAGCGCTATAAGTACTGGTTCTCACAGCCCGGGGAGCAGGGGTAAGGCTGGGGCGCCTGGCGGGGGTGGGGGCTGGGGGCTCCCCATCGCCTGAGCTCCCTGTCTTGTTGCAGCCAGTGGTGGCGACGCCAGTGGGTAGAGGAATTCTTCCCCCCCGTGTCCCTGGGGGACCCGACACTGGACACGCTACTCAGGCAGTTTGGTCTCCAGGTAGGAAAGTGCTGACCAGGCTGGGGGTGCTGGCAAGGATGACCTCCACCCCCAGGGACGACCCCTCCTGACCCCCCTCAATCCTGCCCCCCCAGGACAAGAGCTCACGCCGGGCCCGCAGCTCCAGCAACGCCCTTGCCCAGGCCCTCCAGTGGGTACGGAGGCAGCTGTCGCCCCTGGAGGCCCCCACCCTGCTCTGGGGACTCATCCTCGCGGTGGGGGCCATCCGGGTCCTGCAGGCTCTGCTGGGGCCCCGTCCCTCCCGAGCCTCCCCTCCCCCCAGGGAGGAGAAGCACAGGCCGGCACCCAAGAAGGACCCGGGAGCGGCCACGGACCAGGCTGCACCCGCCCCCAACAGCAGCAACAGTGGCTCCCAGACTGCCCGGCGGAAAAAGTAGCCGTGTTCCATCTGCCACACGTCGGAGGGTCGGCATCCCCCACACCTCTGGCCTCTGAAGCTGGACGTGGCCCAGCCACCGTGCCTTAGCCAGTGGTCCTGGCAGACGCAGGCTGAGGTGCTGCCCAGGGGGCAGGCTCTGGCTGCCCTGCTGCTTCAAGGGTCCACTTGTCCCCCACTGCGCCGACCACGTCCCTTCCAGGGCCCCCTCTGGCCTGGACAGTGGCCCCGGAGGTGGGTGTGGGACCAGCTCAGAGCCCTTCCCAGGACGTGGTGCAGGACTGGGGTCCGAGTCTGCAGAGGCCCGAGTCTGATGCCTGCCCAGCCCACCATTTGGTTCATGAACCAATAAAGGTTCTTCATGCTTGACCGTGCTGTCTCCTTCCCACAGGGAGGCCTGTGGACAGGCCCCTGTTGTGGGCACAGCCCAGCTTGTCCAGCTGTTGCTGACCTGGCTCCTTGGGTGTCTTTGCTCTGCCCTCCTCAGTGTTCCCCTCTGTAAAATGGACACGAGGACCTGGTCTCGCACCGCTCAGGGCCCCAAGCCTCAGTCCGCACAGCCTGGCCCACCTGTCAGGTCTGCACATCAGAGCTGCGAGGCCAGTCAGGGAATGTGGGGCCTGGAACCCACCCAAACCCAGCCCCGTCTCCTGCTCCAGCTCCTCAGGTCACTGCCC